CTCTCATCTCAGCGGTGGTGGACAAAGTGAAACAACAGGAAGGGATCAAAGCTTACTTAGCGTCCAGACCAGACACTACATTGTAGTCCTAGTGTTTCTCTTCTTCTTATGTTATAATTATAATGTAATATTTGTTTCTTCCATTGATTACTTCTGCCCATGTTTCAAATAATTGAGTATACTTGTTGTAATAATAATAACTTTTTTTTTATTACTGGAAACTAGAAATAATCAAGGTTCTGTACATTCTCGAGATTTAAACCTTTTTTCTTCCTTTAAATGAAACAATCAAGGGTCTGTATCATATCTTCCGGTGATTTAAAAAAAAACACTTCCACATAAAAGTTCTAATTCTTTACTGATAATTTTTAACCCTCTTCTTAATGCTGTATTGTATCAGTACTAAATGAACTTCATTTTTTCAAAAAGGAGTAAAAGGGTCTCACATGAACCTCCTTCAGGTAAACATTTCAAGTCGGAAAAAGACCAAGCAACTTCATGTCATTTTCCCTCAGAATATTTTTAAAAAACCATTTTGAATAACTCTTTTCCAGATAATTCTTGTTTTGAACCTCACTTTTCTTACTATTACTAAATCTAAAACGTAATTTCTCTATGGGGGTGTGTGGCGGCATCCCCATCCCCTCCCCTAAACACGAGCTGAGAAAGGGACCATTCTTCAGATAGGGGTTTATATAATTACAAACTTTCTTATTCATAACTTCATAAACATTTTAAGAAAGCTTATTCAGTTATTCAGTTTGTACAGTGCTTTTTTATCACCAAAAACAGTTCTGTTGGAAACCTGGTATGGTTTCCAACAATTACATTTTATTTCCTTGAGGGGGGGGTTATAAATTTTCATAAAACAGCAAATAAAACTGAACCAAACACCCTCTTTATCCTGAAAGATATATGATAAAGAAAAAGGTCTAGACTGCCAATGCTTCATGCTCATTGTTAAAGGAGAAAAAAGTTGTGAAATTGTACAGGTTTCAAGTCTCTATCAACACTATTAGGCTATTTGAGAGGCGGGACTCCGAGTTTAACGTCCATCTGTGATAGGAAGGAGCCAAAAAGGAATTTCATGTAAAGTGCCTTTCCCAAGGACACAACGTCCGACCAAGCTGAGGCTCGAACCCCCCAACCCGAAATTTCAGTCCCTGTTCTGGTCACCTAACCACAAGGCTAACGGCACCACTGCTATGAGAGATATAGACCTTCATTTTATTGTTTAAGTAATTGTTTTATGGCACTTGCAAATACAATAAAATCATATTAGTGCCAAAGATAAGAAGTGTTTACTAGAGAGTAACAGAAGGAGGAGAGATAAGGATGATAAATGTTTGTGAGAGGAAAACAGGAGCCGACCACACCACAGCACCCGCCAACCACCCACTCTTTCATTGTAAGAACGCTGACAAAACAGATGTATGTCACATTATCAAGGGAGATGTTGGTGTTGTACTAAAGAGTCCATTATAACAGCATAATATTATATCAATATGACACGGAAAGAGCAAATTTAATGTGAGAGCATAATATACTATGAGACCTCTTTCAGTCAAAGGCTGTCTCACCTGTGTTTCATACAGACTTCATCATAAGTTAAGGACCATGTTGACAGACAGCCCTGATTTTTAAAAAAAATCCGAACAAAAGACAGCAAGGAATGTTTCAAAACTTTTTGCTCTGAAAGTGTTAATGGGTTACCCATGCATACTGTAAAGCTTCCTAAAGGGGCAAAACCACCACGTGCAGCACAAAAGTCCTCTGGGAATTTTAGCCAAATTTGCTTTTTTTTTTATCATCGTGCATGCAACACCACGGACATTCCTCAGTTAAAATTTTTGGTGCATGTCATAAACTGACGTACGGTCTCGAACTGTGCTCATTTTGGTGGCAATATAAGCTGCCGTTTGCTCAAAATCCAGTATCGCATCAATATGTCACCAAGACGAAAGCTGAGAGACTTTGATTGTGCCAGAGCTATGGCATGGCTGCAGCATGGAGTTGGAGCCTGAGCAGTTGCCAGAAGGCTTGCAGTGTCATACTCTGTCATTGTCCGCTTGAGGCAGCGCCATCAAGCCGCTGGATCAGTCCATGAACGCCCACGGGCAGGTCGATCCAAGAAGACCACTCAGAGTGTTTGCAAGTGGTCCTTAACTTATGTTGAAGTCTGTACATTTACGTGACCATGCTCATACTATACTCATACAGAATTCCAGCCCCCTCACAACTGAACCAACATAACAATCATGAACATTGGGTAAAGACCACACGGAAACTGGTGCTGCTTTTTAAATTTTATTTCTTTATTATTTTTTTAAAATTCAGAATCAATTTGAATGCAACGCACAATTTTTAGAAAACCAATTTGAATTGTACTAATCATTGATGTCAACAGTTTGACCATATAATTACTATGCATGTTTACACCACTTTTACAAATAAAATGACATATTAACAAAAAAAAACAACCTTTCTCAGACTTTTAAGTTATTTTTGTATGTTTCTTTGCTGATTATCTTGTACATAAAGGAAGATGTTTTATATCGGGAATTCACAAAGAACTGATTACCCCAGTATGCAATAGAACCTGTCCATAACAGTCACTCAGGATCACAGAAAAAAGGGATTTTTACAAACAGTAGGCTGCTGCTATGGACAGGGTTCGAATTATGGTCACTTTTCAGGCATATATGTGAAAATGAATTCTCATATGATACTAATAAATCACCAACAACAAGACATATATGCTAAAGCAAAATAATCCCTTCTGAGTTCCCAACACTGTGCATTTTAATTTTATCGTTCCTTTTCATTCCATCAAAACTGATCTATCATAAGAACTTAAAAAAAAGAAATGCTGCCAACAGACTCAAAAACCTCGTCACAGCGGTCATTCACAAAACAACACATGAGAAAAAAAAACCCCACCAGAAAATCCTGACTTGGACAACAATGAGAAAGACGGATGCCACACTGCCTGTCATATGACTGCATGGCATTATTGTAACTCCTTGTTATCAGGAATATCACTGGATAAAGTTAAAAGATCTCAAACTGTCCAAAACAATGTTGCACATTTAGTTTTACGGAAAAGAAAGCGAGACTCAGCTAAACCTCTTTTACGAACTTTGCATTGGCTTCCTGTTGAGAAATGGACCGGGTACAAGTTGGCCACCCTATGTCACAAATGTTTGAATGATAATGCACCATCATATTTATCAAATTGGTTAAGACTGTAAATTCCAACTCGCAGTTTAAGGTCATCAGCTGACAAAAAGAATTTTTTTTTACCATCTATGAAACTTAATGGGTGAAAGGGCATTTGAATACCAAGGCCCCAAGAACAAGATCTGGAATGCTTTACCAAGTACTTTGAGAGAGATCAAATCTTTTGATTCATTCAAATGTCATCTGAAGTCGTTCCTATTTTTAAATTAATAAGTTGGTCTTATAGATGTAACTCAATAGAATGATCAAACACAAAATGAGAATAAGACATCAGCTTTCCTCTTCAAAAAAAAAGGGATGGTGATCTGAAGATATAACCTCAAATTGTATGGATTGAATTATTTAATTGAACGTATTCATACAAGGTATCTGATCCCATACAATCAGCGGATTCCAAGTAGTGTCCTTTTAGAAATTTTGATTTATAATAATATTACTGCATTTATTATTTTAATATTATTTCATTATTTTACTCAAATGAATTCTATTGTTAGTATTATTGTTCTTGATATTGCTGTTATGACTGTGTTTCTTCTTCTTCTTCTTTTTCTCATTATCAATATTTGTATTATGATAATCATTAGCATTATTTATATATTTATTTATTTATCATTTAATTGAGGTTTGTTTTTTTTCTCCTAAATTATCATTAATACTGCCCTTAATCCATAATCGTGTTATCGATAAAAATGGACGGTAACATAAATGATGTCACTATGGGGGGGGGGGGGGCAATTACAGCGAATTACAGGCGATTTGCAGGTTGAGAACCATAGATACGGGGTACATAGAAGCGGAACCAATAAATTGGCAAAAAAAGATTATTCATCCGCAGACAGGTAAAAGAGGCTAAAACAGCACCTGGACATGGATGGCTGGTGCCTCTATAAATCAATCATTGATGGTCACGGTCAAGGTTAATAAGATGAATATTTGGAATAATTTTTCTTTAGTCAGAACACAACGTTTTACGTTACTGTTGTACATTGTACTGTATTGCAAAGCGCTCAAAGCCTGTGTACTTTAATAGGGGTTGAGCGCTATATAAATGTCATTTATTATCATTATTTAATGAGGTCAGCAGCAGTGTAGCCAGGCCATAACACCAGCTGTTTCTATGTATTGATTGAACATACACACTAATACCTGTCAACTTTTCCAAACCAAAATAACCGCAACTCTACTGACACAGCAGGCCAAGATGGTGGGCATTGAATAATAATAATAATAATAATAATATATAACATTTATATAGCGCATTTCCAAAAAAGTAGCTCAATGCGCTTTACACTGGAATACCCATTTTCCTTACTACTTCCTTTCTTCTCATGCAATATATATATTTCTGCATACACACACACACGCAGACACACAGACACACACACACACACGGACAATTTTCATCCAGACATAGGCACAGAACAACTATAATAAGAAAAATAATGTTAAAAGCTTATGAAGGATAGGCTTGACATTGACCAAGTAACCCCCCTCCAAACCCTTCGCACAAATTTTTATACATACATACGCAATAAATTCAAGCTATTTAAAGAAGACCTGCAACAAAAATGAGACCAATATTAAGTAAAGATCACTAATTATGCTAATGGACATGACTTGAATTGATTTACGGTCTTCATTCTCACCACTATTTGCAAATCATATCTTGAAAGTTCATAATTTTTCTTCAACATCAGCAGGCGCAATACTAGAAAACAGAAAATATGTACTTTCTGACACAAAAATGGACTTCAGTACTCAGATTTTTATATACTGGTTGGCAGCTATGTACAGTAAGACTGAGGACGGGTTGGTGGAATACTTTTCAGGGATGCCACTCAACTTTTTTGAAAATAGCTGAAAATCCACGCGCCACCGTCTCGCTAACATATGAATAACAATTTGAAACCCAAAGGGTGTACATAGAGAGAAATGACTAACAAACATAAGCAATGGGAGTGCATAGAGAGAAATGACAAACATTTAAAGAAAAATAGATTAGATGTACTTCACGTGTGACGTGTGTGTGGGGTTTTTGTTTCTCCAGCTATAGATTCTATCTCGATCTCAATAACAGAATAGCGGATCAGGATCAAAATACCGGAAATACAGGAAAAAAGCGGAAAAATGGGATCCCTGACTTTTGTAGGAAGTGACTGCTGTGCACAGGTTTAGAGGTCAAATTAGTGTAAAAATGACTGACAGTGGCTACATTGGACAGGGACTGCTATGGACAGATGAAAAATATTTTTTAAATGCAAAGATGTCACACAACAGTGGCCGTTCAAACAGATGAATGCTATGGAAAGGTGACCACAAAAGTATGTTCGACTGTGGTCTTGTAATATGGCTCTTTTCGTCTATGCAGACACTAGACAGTCAATTTAGCTTAAGATGGTTTCAAGGTTGTCTTCATGCAGCTTCTTTCATGGCTAATTCTTCCTATGTTTGAAGCGTAGATTCTGTAGCAGTGCTTGCATGTCAATGTCGTAGAACGAAGATCTTGTACAAGCATAAAATAAAAATACAAGAAAACAAACTAAGAACATTATTTTCCTGTACAGGTTTCTTTTGATGCATTTTCGGACGACGTTTCCTCCTCATCCTCTGAACTGCTGTCTGCATTGTCCCGCAATTTCTGAGAAGATTAAAACAATCCACCATCATTTATAAAATCACATGAATAGTGAAATCATTTATGAAAAAACATTTTAAAACTCGGAATCCATTATCTTTTAAAATTAGATATATATAGATTAGTGAGACAAAATATTTGCACATCCACACAATAGCAGTCATTTCATTTTTTTTTAAATCCAAAAAAAAAGGTCCGCTTCTGGGGCCAGTAAAGCTTTCTTGTTAACCTTTCCACTCCACACATATAAAACAAAATATTGATGTACATGTAGAACTACGCATTAAAGGTTAGAAAGTCAAAAGTTTCAAATGAAAAATTGAGATGACTTAAAGCAAAAGATCATTTGATCAATGATTACTACATTTTGCAATATTTGGGGGGAATAAATCTCCCCCTCCCCCCTTCCTCCTCAGTCCTTTACATTTTCACTGGAGACAAAACTGTCATTACTAGAAAAATTCTGGATCAATGTCAGAATTCTGTCCCACAGCCCCTTCACCATTTCTCCAAAGCTCAAATTCCTACCAAAAAATGCTAAAATAATTTCAGTTCCTAAGTACCCCAACCAAATAAATTTTTGAAAGACTACTAAGGTAACCCCCTTCTCCTCTGTAACATAAAATAGTAAACTGATTATCTTAAAAATGTTTCAGCAAACGGCAGATGAGGAGGATATTTTAACTCTTTAGCCCCCAAATTATTTTCAACATTTTGACAGATTTTTTTCTTCATCTCGTGAAATAAATGGTGTATACATCAAAAATGTTCATAAAATGCCTAAAACTGTGTCAAAAGTGAATGGGAAAGTAGTTTATATACTTTTATCTAACATTTTCGAGTCAAAATAAATCTACTCGAATTCATTCGAGATTGCATGAGCAGTAATACTTCATGTGCTCTGGGATCTGATTGGATGCTGGGACCGTCCACTTGGGGACTGGGCGAGTTTCACTGGACGCTCCCATCGTCCACTTGGGGTAATTGAGACAAGTCTGAGACCAATCCGAGGTCACAGAAATAAAACTAAGAGAGTCACTGACAAATCTCCACACACAGCAACACTAAGGGTTTTTGGTAAGTAGGCCTACCTATGTCACATATGTGCCACAATTGGGTTGAAAGAATGAAATATACCAAGATCTGAGGTGTAGCGGTTATGTGCTTCCTCGTTGCACACAGGAGAACCGAGTTCAGATTCTCGGAGGGGGAGAAATTTTAACGAGTATCTATCTCCGCCTTTCTGCTGGTATGTTGTATTCCTCTCAACCTATGTTGGCTCTGACAGGCAGGGTCAGAAGCCTACCTTCTGAAAGATCTAAATCATGTTGATGGGAGTGTAAAAACACCTACTTTAAAAAAAACAAAAACAATGAAAAGCAGTGAAAAATGGTAAAGTGAACGGTGCGGCAAAAATCCTTCATGCTTAAGAGCGTGTCTTACTAGAGCCTGTCCAACTACTCACCAGCAGATCCATAAGCTTGTAAGGGTCCTCCCCCGACGTCAAGTCCTGTATGTCTCTAGGCAGGGCATAGTTGGCATAATCTGAGGTCTGTACACCTCCCTCACTCTCCACACACCTGAAGTCCGGGGTCTACAATAGTCGTGAATGACAGAAAGGCTTATTGTTTTAGTCAGTGTTTTACGGCACTTGCAACACATTTAGGTCATATAAGTTCTGAAGATTAAAGGTGTTACAAGAGAGTAACAAACATAAAAAACAAAGAGGAGAGATAAGGACGATAGATGTTTGGTAGGAAAGAAGGAGCAAACGATACCAGAGTACCCACCAATCACTTGCAGAGAGGCTTAATAGAAAGCACTAAAAGCAAAACAGTGCGACAATATAAGACAATTCATATTGATCTGTTGATTGCTCTTTCTGTACAAAAATCTATTGAGCCATTTTCTAAATAATTATAAAAGATGGAGCACAAAGATATCAAAGCATGACACAACATTTAATATTGATGCATTGACGAGAATTTCAGAGGCTTTCCAAAAAGCTGAGAATGTTTCAGAAAGTAACTGGATCTGTCAGGTGAACAACAAATTGAAAACTGCACAGAGCCAACTTTCCAAGAGGGAATACCCTACTTTTATAAATTAAATGTAAACTATTACTACCAGTATCACTATACCACCCTTGAAGAGAATACTACAGTCAACATGAAACATGAAAGTCAGAGAGACTTAAACAAGATTTAGAAAAGTAACTAGGTATTAGCATCGTTCATTCTTTAACACTTTGCCACCACATCTCGCCGATTGGCGATGTTCACCACCCAGTTTCTTTGGATTTTCCCCAAAATGCCTTTGCCTTCGATGGCAAGGGTTTTTACCATATGAGCCTTGTGATGGCAAAGTGTTTAAGACTCATTTATTATATATTCGCTGTCGCAAGAAATCCATTTAAGTCCAAATCTTGAGTATTTTCGATTTTTACACCCTCCCTAAGCTCTATCAAAGATGCACCTCTCAACATCACCAAAATGCAGTTTAATGCTATGGTCAAGGCTTACAATTTTCTTGTTTTTCTTCCTGGTGGGAACAACACAACAAAAACTAGGGGTTTTTTTTGTCTCTAGTGTACAAAGTACCCAAATGAACCTTATTGGATTGTTTGCAACTAGGGCTGGATCCTGCTTGTCAAATTTGAGAGTGGCGATTCGCGATTCAGTCGGCTTCAAAGAATCGCGAGTACGCGAGCGCTCGCGGAACTGTGGTGGAATACTGACTGAAACGGAACAGTGTCATGTCAACGGAACAGTATTATAACTACGCCACTAGGCGAGCGCGAGTCCCACTCTTGATGTTCCGCCATCCTCTCCCCCCCACACCCTTTGTTGCGCTGCTCTATCAACTGACCTCAATTAGTGACCCCCATAAATCCCTCCCCCCCCAAACCCCACCATTCGCTAAAACAATGGCTCCATAAAATTCCTTCTGTCTATTGGTTGGACCCCGTTCATTTTGTTTTAATAGGGGGGTTGGACTATACCATCTTTTGTAAAATAAGGGGAGCCATACTAAGTGTTCTGTTCCGTTCTTGCGCTCGTGACTCGACTCAGCAGTAGGTTAAACAAGCCACAAGGTGGTGACAGCGACAGGGGAGTGAATCGGGAATCGTTTGGCGATACTGTTCCGCGTTCCGCTGAAGTGAATCGTGAACCGCGTTCCGCAGGAAAGAGTGACGATTCAGTTCCGTTCTCGCGCTCGTGACCCAGCCCTATTTGCAACACCGTTGACACCTTCTTTAAGTACCGGGTACTTCAAAACATTATCCTAAAAAGAATGTGGAAGTTGATATTGAAAAGCATTCTAAAATCTGCTTAAACAGCATGGAGTTTCACTGACTCTCATGAGTGTGCATGTAGGCCTTGAAAATGAAGGACATGTCTCTTTACAGAAAGCTTTTTCTGATTATACATTTAGAAATAACCATCTTTGCTGACATAATGTCAAGCACTTTGAAGAGTTGCTATCATTGCTGACTCATCATCATGTATTTTTAAGTTATCACCACAGTTGATTTATTTCCATATATTTCGAAGTGACCACTGTTTCTAGCTAATTTTCGGGTCATGTATTTTGAAGTTATTTTCAATGGTGACATATTGACATGTATTTTGAAGATATAACTGTCGCTAGCATGTCACCCAGAGCAGTCAGTGTTTACATCACAAAGAATCTTGAAGCTAACTGTTATAAAACAAATAGACAAAAATATGTTCCCCAAAGAACACATTTCCAGATACCTGATCTGCAGCACGTTTATCCATATTCTTCAAAAGACCTTCTATGTCCTCCCAAGAGTACAGCAAACTGTCTGTGACCAGTCCAAATGGATTGAAATCCACCAAGATTACCTTTCCCTGAGCATAAACAAACATGTAAGATAAGGAAAACCTTTCACAAAGCAATCAGAAACAATGTTAATCCGGGAAGAAAAAATCTACAGACATAAAGTTACAGAATGGTATGATGTGTTTTAACTCATCAAGAGTCTATTGCCAAAAAAGACCCAGTCAACAAGGTGACGAGCCATGAAAACTTCCTTCCTAAATAAACCAAATTCAAGAACGCTACAAGAAGGATTAGAACCAAACTTATCCATGTCACAACCAAGCATAATATCAAGAACGGAACAGCAGAACTGCATACTAGCCCATTCATTGTGCAATGATCCTTTCAAATACAAATGTACCTAAGATACAATATATATATACCAGACTTGACAAAAGAACATATGTATAAAATGACAGTTACTGTGGCTGTAGATCATTCTTGTTGGAAGAAAAATAAAACGAGCTGATAAAATGGGATTTAAATGAATGTGTCTTTGTACCAGTTTTAAATGCAGTCAACATTGGCAGCCTTCTTAAATGCAATCTGATTCCCAAATGCAAAATTTACAAAAGTAGCTTCGATCAGATCATAAGACACTTCAATATCATTAATATAAATATAAACATATAAAGTTTAAAACGATTTCTACTCAAGAGAGTAACCTGGGTATTCTACTCACCTGCTCCGGACGAACAACATCGAAAACATCTGCAGAAAAAAAATCAAAACAAGAGATAAATGTATTACTTCCATGTATCCCAAACTAATGCTATTATTTTCCAGCTTACACAGATTCTAAAAGTTTTTCAACAGAATTGTGATATTGATTTTGTACAAAGTATAGGGATAACACTTATGCGGACACTAAATTTGATAGGTAAAAAGACAAAAACATCAGTAACACATACTCAAATATAATACAGGGTGATTAAATAAGAATGGACCCATTTTATGACACAATGCTTCAGTTCTCAAGCATCGTTATGAAATAAGTTAGCGACCATTTGAAAGAGGAGTTATCTAACAATTGAATAGCTGTCACAGGGGGTGCTGTTGTTGCGTCGTTTTTCCTTTGAAGGAAATACCGCTACACGACAAACCTATTTATATGCCCCAAAACTGTCTCTTCACATCACGGTAAGCAGATTTACAGTACTTCATCTTTTAACAAGATGGAGCACCTCCCCATTGGCATCTGATGGCTCAAGCCTTTTTAAATGAAAACGTACCCCGGCAATGGATTGGTTAGAAAGGGGCCCAAGACCTTGCTCTCTGTGCTTGGCCTGCCAGATCCCCAGAACTCATCGTAAATGATTTTTTCTTGTGGGGATACACAAAAGATCACGTTCATGTTCCACTGCTACCCACTATCCTCTATGACTTTAAACATAAAATAACAACAGCAATCAACTAAGGGGGGACAGTGATATGGTGAAAAGTGTCTGGGACGAAATCTCTTATTGTATTGATGTTGCCTGTGCTGCTGGTAGTGGCCACACTGAACAATTGTAACACAGGAGGTAAAAGTTGATTGTGACTATAGTACTTATGTCTTAGCTTGAGTGTTCAATTGCTTTTCCTTAGAATATTGCATAATGAAATCAGTTCATTCTTTTTTAATCACCATCTCTAGAACTTGCTCTAACCACTACCGTCCAAGACACTAACCTGAGCAAACAACCACCTCCCACTCCCCCCCTTGCATTTTTTCAATATTATTTTGACACTGTCAAAAGGGACCATCTTACTAAGATGACCACTTTCTCCTCATATAAGGGTGAAGGTGGAGGAAGAAGAAGAGGAGGAGGAAGGAGGTGGAGGAGGAGGAGGGAAGAGGAGAAGGAAGAGGAGGAACAGAAAAGAAAAAAGTGCACTCAAGGCTTTAAAAAATGTACTTTCAAACAAAATTTCTGTAAGATGCTGAGTTTCCATACTAAGAAATACAAATTAACTCAAATAATGGTCCTAAACTAAGACAAAACTCAAGAGCCAGTAGCTCTATAAACGCTACACTTGAATTCCTTTTCAAAACCATTATAAACAGAAAAGAAGAGAAATACTCACAAGATGTCTCAGAAAAGCGTTGAGCTATTTTCTGCTGATGAAATTTGCTGATATCACTGATAATCGATTCCCTTTCATGATTGATGTGAGAGAAGAACTTTGTAGCTTGACGTTGACACAAAGCTTGAAGATAAAGTGGTATATTCAACATTAAAAACAACATCTACTAGTGGTGGCACAAAATGACTGATTAATCTATTTACTCATTTATTGACTCATGTCTAAGCCCTGCAGTAGTCATATCAAAGCTGCTTTTCCCGATACAGCAAAACTATCTCAGCTAATTTGCTGCGTTCCCCCTCCCTCTCAGTTCCCAATCTTTCACTATTCAAGACAGGAAATGACAAGAAATCTAAAAATATGCTCAGGACAGAACAAACAAAAAAAACCCAGCTAGCTTATTATTTCTTTTAATTTTTGTAAAGTTGGGGGAGGGGGACTCATTAGCTCAACAGGTACGGTGTTTGCTTGTCAACCCAGAGGTCTGCAGTTTGATCTCTACCAGCATCAGATTTTTTTCTCATGTTTTCCCACATCCCCTGATCCTAGGGTGGTATATAGGATAGAGCACCTAGTCTCCTCAGATAAGATTGAAACATTTTTGAGGTCCTAAGTGGAAATTTCGAACGTTATAGATCCCTGGGTAGTTCTTTAAAAAAGTAATCCAGACCCATCAGGCCCCTCTCCTGGCAAAATTCAAAATTAATTCCTCCCCACGAATGAAACCACTCTAGTCAGTATAAATAATGAGAGTCCCTTCAAAAACAGAATGTAGCTGCCTGTCAGACAAGAGATGATTCTATGTTCTTTGTATATATATATGAAAAGGCTACATATTTAAAAATCAACACCACTGTGAGATGAAGATCTTACAATCACATCCTGTGCTCTAGCATGGGTATGAGAAGAAGAAAAGGAGAAGCTGTACTTTTGTGTCCATCTCAAAAAGAAAAAAAGAAAAGGATGCGGGGGGGGGGTACTTCAGCTTTTTTTCTAGACTTGTATAGTAATTTAAGACCACAATAAGATCATGTGTATGAATCTAACGAGTCGAAGAGATTCTCCATAGGAACAACATGACGACTCAAACAACACATCTGGCCGACGTCCGACAATTGCATCTCCTCTCAACACCTCACGGTATAAAAGGACTGAAAAAGTTAAAATAAGTAAGAAAACAACAAGACGTGTGTTTTAAAAAACTCTTACCTATGAGTTTTTTGTCGTGGACAAAACATCTAAACTCTGTTGATGGATCGGGCGGTTGCCATTTCTTCAAGACAAGACAGTATGATATAGATGGAGAATTCTCAGCAGAGTCGTCTCCAGCGTCATCACAATGTACAAATCTGGAACAAATAAAGGCTGTCATAGAGCAACACTCAAGGATCAATAAAACACAATCAGTCAATATATAACTCCTGACGTGCTCAACTTGGCAAAAGTAAAGTATATATAGAGCAACACCCAAACATCAATAAAATACAATCAGTCAATACATAATGCATATTTAGAGCAACACCGTTGTATCAATAAAATACAATCAGACAATAAATGATTTATTTTTCTATTGGCAAAAGTAAAGATTAACCACCCCCCCTTCAACCCCCATGTCTTTGTGCACATTGATGATCACAGCCAGCCCTCCAAAGAAAAAAAGCATTCTGAAAAATAAATGACAAGTTCTCTAAAAGAAATGCTTGTTGCTATGTCCCTGATAAATAATTTTAAAAGATACAATGTAAACATAATATTGCTCATCATCTATTAACGAAATAAACATGAAGGATCTGGACTAAGCAGCTGTTTGTAGTACAACAGATAGATTCTTTCCTTGCTCACTCAAGACATGAGTTTGAATTCAAGATGGGCAAGTTCATTTTATTGAGTGTCTGTGTCTTCTCCAAGGATGTTGTACAGTCCAGGCCGGCTTTAAGCACGGTCATCGGGAGAAAGCTCAAGCGTGCTTAATGCCGAAGCGTGATTGAGTGCGAAATAGACATAATCCAGAGATTTTCATGCGTAGAAAATTTCCCTTTGTTTGTAAGTAGGCCTATAGCGGTCCCGCAAAAGTGTGCACTCTTATTTTTACCCACCATGGTAGTTTTTGTTTGCTTGTTTGTTTTTGTTTTGTGGTCGAATGGGAAATGAAAACTTAATTTAGACGGCCAGTCACGATACAGCACACTAGGCCTACACGCTGCCTGTGCGTACTACTGCCCGCTGTGCCACATTCATACCCCTGCCTTCATCCCACCTCGCGTGTGATACACAATCAGGGTAATCGGATAGCGAGGGTCAAAGGTGAAATCGCAGCCAGCCTCCCTTTCTCGCCTCGCTGACTCTCTGTGTACTTTTTTCGTCTGTGTGTAGCTTTGCCAAAGGCTAGATCCAATGTCCACGCGCGCAGCTGTGTGCATCTCTCTGCCTTCCTCTCCGCGCGTGTGAGTGTGTGTCTCCATCACTTGCGTTCTTTGTGTTTCTCTTAACACACTAACTGCTATGGTGTAGACTGTGTTCGAACTTCGATGGGTCATCATGAAAGTATTGACTGTCTTGTAAATGAAGCGTGCCAGAAGCCGAAGTTACCATGCTTAAAGGCGTGTAATTTATATAGCAAAAATTCGGTAAGAGCCGTTTAGTGTGCTTGAGTCCGAAACGTGCTTTATGCCGGTGTGCTTAAAGCCGGCACGGACTGTATTCCATTCAGCTCTGGTTGACCCTTGTGGCATCAGTGGTCAAGTAGTTAGGCTGTTGGGTTTGCAACCAAAAGGTCATGGGTTCCCAACCCCATCAAGGACCCAACATTGTTTCCTTGGGAAAGGTACTTTATACACAAATGTTCTTCACATCGTTCAGGTGGGTACGTATACGTATACCCGGCGTTATACAGCAAAAGTTCTTCTCAGTTTATTAGTGTTTGAGTGATTAATTGGCTGCTTGCATTGTAGGCTTCCAGGGAGCCAAGAATGTTTCTGAATGTCCTAGGA